GTGTAAGGATCACTTGAACCTAGGAACCCAGGAGGTCAAGACGGCTGTGAGCTGTGATTGTGTCACTGCACTCCAGCCTGGGCTACAGAGTGAGTCCCTGATACAAAAAATATATATATACATTCATCTAATACAGGATTTCTCAACCTTAACACTATTGACATTTTGAACCAGATAATTTTTCTTTGTTGTGGGGAGTTATACTGTGTATTGTAGTAAGTTAAGATGCATCCCTGGCCCTTACTCACGAATATCAGTTGCACAATTACCATTATTTCCAGTTGTGGCAACCAACTCTGTCTTGAGACACAACTAAATGTATCCTGGGTGTAGAAGGGAGGCAAAAATCATGTTGAGTTTAAAAATGCAGATCTAAGAAGAATGTGACCTTTATTCTTCAAAATAATGACTTTTAGTTAATATAATTACTTTCTTGTCCTATAACTTTATTTTTTTGAATTTAAAAAACATGTTATTTTTATGTTTCACTGAGCACTACTGATTTATATCATCTAGCTTCCTTTTCCTCAATGAATCAGATTATCTCACGCCTGAATTAGCCTGACTAATTTCATTTGCGATCTCATATCCATTAACTCATTAATTTACTTCGGTGTCAATGAATCCCCTATGGCCCATAGTTTCTAAACATGTCACACTTCCTCTAAAGGAATAGCTTATACACTTGAGGAAGCTGGTTGAACACTTGTAAATACACCTGAAAGAAAATTGATTTTAATGCTCTTGGCCAAAGAATATTCTTTTTTATTTATTATTTTTTTTCTATAAAAGTTCCTGTTCTCTCTGGAATGCTTGCACTATGGAAAAATATAAAATTAATAGAAAATTTGACATTAGGGAGATCAAAATACCGCAGTTTTAAGCCTTTCTTTCTCATCTAAAAATAGGATTCATCTAAAGGAAGTCACTGTTAACATTTATATTAAGGTGCAGATAGGAAAAAATAATGTATTTAAAATACAGTAAGTAGTTTATCTGACATATAAATCATAGATGATTTCACAGTGAATCATCTATTTCACAAGGTTGCTATAAGAACAAGGTGTGCTAACAGACATCAGAAGGTCCTGAGAAGCACAGAGCCTGAGGCCTCCATGGGAGAAAAGGCCTGCCATCCTGTGTGTGCTATTACATAGACAGTAGAGCAATGAGAGATGGCTGTATTGTAGATTTTTTCACAATGTTCATGATTACCACCACAATGATGATTATCTTTTATCAAGGTTATCAATTTCCTGTGAAGTGAGAATATGGATTCTCACTTTTCATGGAATCTGCTCCTAGTTGGGCCACTAACCCCAGAAGTGCATAAAAGGAACTGGTGTGAAGGGGGATTACCTCACCTCACCCACTCCCAGAAATGACATACTAGTATGTGTACATTTTTTTAGTTTTATTTTTAGAGACAGGATCTCACTCTGTTGCCCAGGCTAGAGTGCAGCAGCATGATCACAGCCAGTGTAGCCTCCAACTCCTGAGCTCAACCTCCTGAGTGGCCAGGATGACAGTCGCACACCACCGTGCCCAGCTAATTTCTAATTTTCTATAGAGATTGTGTCTCCTTATGCTACAGGCTGGTCTTGAACTCCTGGGCTCAAGCAATCCTCCTACCTTGGCCTCCCAAATTGCTGGGATTATAGGTGTAAGCCACCATGCCCAGTCCATGTGTACATTTTCACTTGATAATTTTTTATTGCAAATTGGGTATATTATTGCTTTAATTTAGAACTATGACATCTTTTTTTTCAATATTTATTGAAAACAATGAGTTGAGTAGAGCAAAGATCTCACCACATGGCATATAGTTCTTTCTTTACAGAAAGCAAAACAGTTTTTAAACAGGGAGGGAAGAAAGTCTACACAAACACACACCCACAAAATCTAAACAGGGATTACCCATCTTTATATGATTTTCTCCTTTTACTTTTTACTGTTTGCTTACCACAAACTAACATTTTAATTATAGTATCTATTATGATAGTATTATTTTGTCATAAAATTGACAAATAAAAATTATATATAGTTATTGTGTACAACATGATGCTTTGAAATATGAATACCTTGTAGAATGGCTAAATAAAGCTAATTAGCATATGTATTACCTCACATACTTCTTTGTTGTGGCAAAATGTATTCTCTTATCAATTTTTTAGATGATGCTTTTTGTTTTACAGTGATGTGTTTTCCCTATCACACATTAAAGCTTTATTGGGAATTGCACAGCAAGGCTTTAGCCACAAGGTCTTATGAGATTTGGATAGTCATGGATCTGAGTATGGGTCTAAGCACTAAAACCAGATTCCATTGTTAACTGTGCGATCACCATGGTAAAGTACAACACTATGATTCTGGCTAATTATTAATTTTCTTATACTGGCTGAATTGTAATTAAAAGTCCAATTCCAAGACTTAGAATTGATTGCAGATGATTGCCTATTTTTATAGCCAACCTCTCCATCTGCCTACAAGTTATTTCATAAACATTTCTATAAAAACAACAATGCTTATGAAAATGAATATGTACATTCCAAGTATATGGAAATATGATACTGATATGTACATGGCAATTAGCAATGTTGAAGGTAATATATTACAATTATTTAGCATGTAATTGTTTCTAAAGTACCATAACCTTCATTTTCTCAACAGTAAGCCGGTAAAAGGCAATTTTTAAATTTTAGAAATGCAGCATCTGAGATATAAGCCATTGTGTTAGTTGCTCAAGATTACATAGATTTACCTATGGTACAGCTTAGAAATAAGCTGCTTAGGTATCTAAGACTCATATTCATCTGCCCAATTTATTTTCTCCCCAAAAGGCATGATGTTAAGAACTTAGGGATGCAAATAAGAAAGACAGTAACTGAAAAGAGAATTGTAGGTAACCCTGCATGTTCTTTTTTTTTTTTACTTTTTTTTAATCTTAAAAAATAGGGTACAATTCAGGGTTAGCTATACAATGTTCATTATGCAGATACCCTTGTTGATGAGGTGTGTCCCTCCCTGGGAGTTTCCCACTACTGCCAATCCCTTCCTTACAGTATTATGATAATTGTTAAAGGCCACTTATGAGTGAGAACATATGGTACTCAGTTCTTTGTTTCTGTGTTACCTCACTCAGTATTATAGACTCTAAGTCCATCCAAGTTGCTGCGAAGTTCATTTTTTTGTCCTTATTTATGGCTGCGTAGTATTCCATCATGTTTATGTACCACATTTTTTTATCCAGTCCCCTTTCCATGGGCAGCACAGTTGGTTCCATGTTTTTGCTATTGTGAATAGTGCTGCAATAAACATGCGTGTTTTTTTTTTTTTTTTTTGGAATGTATGAGGGTAAGGTGGAAGGAGGTTTTAGACCTTTACAAAGGGTCTCATGATTAATAGTGAAGTGTGCATATTCTTGCCATTGAACAAGAAAGAATAACTTAAAACTACTGCATGATGGTTCTGAGTAAACAGCATAAATGTTCTTGAACACCATGGCTAAAAGACACTGGAATTCATTATCCAGAATTGATACAATTTTATCTTTATGATACTATCCACTCGGAGGTCTGTATGAAGCCCAGTTTGCCCAGCCATAAAGTAAGATCTGAGTCTATGTTTTCTTTTTTTTTTTTTTTTTTTGAGTTGGAGTCTCACTCTGTCGCCCAGACTGGAGTGCAGTGGCCGCTCCCGGCCACCACAATCTCGCCTGCTGGGCTCCGGCGATCCTTCCGCCTCAGCCTTCCAAGTAGCTGGAATTACAGGCATGCGCTACCACGCCCGGCTGATTTTTTGATTTATTGTAGAGATGAGGTCTCACTGCCCAGGCGGGTCTCGAACCCGCGGGCTCAGGCAATCCACTCACCTCAGCCTCCCAAAGGCGCGGGATTACAGGCTGAGCCACCGAGCCCGGCTTGAGTCTATGTTTTCAACTCATGGCATATGCCACAATGGCAGTGCACAAGTACTGTGCAATTACAGTGTTTTCTTAGTGGGCACTAAGACATTCATAGAGTCACTATTGACAAATACATGTCTTAGAAAAAGTGAACCTTCTGATTTTATTATATCTGGATGAGTTTTTTACTGCTGTCCATTCATTTTCTTGGAATAGGCATTGCTTTGTATTAATAGAGTTTTTTTTAAAAAAACAGACAACTAAAGTATGAAGACAGTTATCATCATCCCTCCCTGGTAGTCTGATCCATTTGTATTGAGCCCAATCCTCCTGCCTCTAACTTCCAGGGGAATCCTGAATAGAAAGAAGAGTGCAAGGAGATACCCTCAGTATGTTTTGCAGAAGGTGAGGAAACAAACCCTAACTACAAATCCAATTCTGAACTCAACTCCTGAAACAAAGCAGGAATGACATAAGACAGACATCGTTCAGTAGTTCTACCACTGATGTCAGTCTTCAGGTGAAATATGCACCCTTATTCATATGTGCTTCAGAACTACTTTTCAGGACCTGTAGATAAGTTGCAATTCACTAGAAAGACCCAATAGTGGTCATTGACAATCTTTATGAGTCAAACAGAGAAGTATTCATTCAAAAATCATCTGTAGTTTGAAAAGCACCTTCTCCTTTTAAGGGCATCCATTTTTAGTTATTATTTATCAAACATTGCTCTCAAAAATAGAACTGTAAGTATAATATCCAGAGGTGAATTTTTGTGAACATGGATCTCTTTGTACAACTTCTCTTTATCACCTTCCTCACCTTAACTTCAAGCCTTAAAATTCAATTAAGCGTATTTGCTCTATAATGGTGGAAATGATTGTGTATACATTCAGATATTGCTCTGGTGCTTTTAACCTATTGGTTACCTTATACTTGGGGGTACAAATTTCAGTATATTAAAATGTAAACTCTTAGGAGACATTAAGAAATTGGGTCTCTGGGCGTCCACAATAATACATGTTATCAGGTTTTTAACAAAAGGTCTTACATGATAATGATAGTAAAAATTTTTTTGGTTTTCTTTATTTTACAGGATTATACACTCACCATGTATTTCCAGCAGTCTTGGAAAGACAAAAGGCTTTCTTATTCTGGAATTCCACTAAACCTCACCCTAGACAATAGGGTAGCTGACCAACTCTGGGTACCAGACACCTACTTTCTGAATGACAAGAAATCGTTTGTGCATGGGGTCACAGTGAAAAATCGGATGATCCGACTGCATCCTGATGGAACAGTTCTCTATGGACTCCGGTAAGTGGATTTATGTTGCATGCTTTTAACATTGTTGTTGTTTTATTTTCTACTCTTGGAAGTGGGTGGAGGAGAGAGAAGTAAGAATATGAATATATATAGATTCATTTATTTGTATATATGAAGGGTATCATACACTTATGGATGTCTGTTTTTGATCCTCATGTGGTTAAAAGCTTACTAAAAATTTTAGGCAGTGTTTTAAAATTAGCTTCCAATTTTACCAAAGAAATAACTGAGATATGACTTGTTATTATAGTGTTCTTTTGTCTTTGATCTCTCCTTTAGTGACTCTTTTGAGGAAAAGATGAAGACTATAAACCCACAAACTCATATATGCCCCCAAACTTCCAACCATCTTAGTGTTCATCAGTCCTCTAAAATCCTTCTACACATCTTGAACATCAGCCTAAAATTTTTATTACAGGTCAAAATCCTACAATTAGTGTCTATGAGTTCACCAATGCCTAGAAACCAGATGCAAGTAAAAAATAATCATCATCATCTCAATCTAGTGGTTAGTTATTTAGTTGATAGCTTTAGTTTCCATTTGTAAAGTGAATATAATATCAGTTAATCTTGGCAAAATGAGCTTGGTACTTCTCCCATTCTTTCAGTACTCCAATAGCTTTCAATTCCAGTCAAAAATCTCTGAGCTAAAAGTCTTTCAGAGAAATGGTGAAATCAACTAACAGTTCTTAAGTCTATTCACTAAGCAAGTCAGTCATTGACCATTAGTGTGGGTTCACGTACTGTAAATCAAGGGTAAGTTTTGTGTTACCTATATAACTTGTATCAGGTATGCCCCATATGTAAAGGTATGAATTATTGCACTTCTAAAGTACTCTGAGTGAATATTTCCATGACTCGACTTGATAGGCTAATCAACCACTACAAGTATAAGTGTATGGATCAGTCAAGAATGTATAAAAAGTTATTGGTTGAGAAAAAGACAATTAAATATTTTTGTAAGTAAGAATGTGGGTTACATTTTATGGACTCTCACTTCAGACATTTTCTAAATTATTGGCAATTTCTACCAATGGGAATAATATAAAGGAAGAAAAATATTCAAAGACTGTGAAATTGAACACACCTCATTTTACAACTGGAAATACTGAGTCACAGAAGGATAAGTGCCTTCTATAAGAACATAGCCAGGTAATAGCAGATTTGGGACTAAAATCTACATATTCTGACTCCCATACCTCTGCTTTTCCCACAGCACTGTCTTTCAAATGCACTTGGAAATCAACACCTCCTTCCAAGTTGTACAACATGCCTTCCTCTCTTCAAAGCCAATCCAGGTCTCTGTAGCTTGCAGTCTACAGATCATGACCCTCCAAAGAGAAACACCAACCATTAATCTATTACCAGGGCTCTGGTCTCTTTATGGCACAAGTTTTCTCCATAAGAGCCTCACACCAATTCTGATATCTTCTCTTCCTTCTCCCCCATCTTTCCACTTCTTCTTCCCTCACAGGTTTGATTTCCTTTTCCATAAAGGCTATATAAAGATCCTGGAGAGACTATCATGTATAGCAGAGAAAGTATGATACCTAGAGTCAGAGGACTGAGGTTGGGCTTCATTCCAGTATTTTTGACTGCTTAACGTTGAACAAATTATATAAATTTGTCTTAACATTTGCAGTAAGGAGCTAACACCCCATAACTCATTTTGGGGAAGATCTTATGAACTAATCAACATGACAATGCATAGTAAGTCTTAAATTATATTTTTCTAAAGTAATTATGCCTTTCATAGCTTTATTAGGTACTGGAAAAACTGCATAATACAGGTGGGTTTTTTTTAACTCTTAGGAGTACCAGTGATTAGAACAGAGATAAAGTTGTTCAATTAAAAATTCATTTAGGCCAAATATGGTGGCTCACACCTGTAATCTCAGCACTTTGGAAGGCTGATGTGGGAGAATTGCTCGAACCCAGGAGTTTGCAACCAGCCTCAGCAAAATAGTGAGAACTTTTCTCTAAAAAAAAAAATCAAAAAATTAGCCAGGTATGGTGTGGAGTGCCTGTAGTTGAGGCTGCAGTGAGCCATGATCATGCCATTGCACTCCAACCTTGGCAGCAGAGTAAGACTCTGACACAATAATAATAATGATAGAAGAAGAATGCAACATTTGTTTGGTGCCAAGTACATGCCATGCACTCACTGTATTTGACCCTGAGAATAATTTTCCAGGAGTCTGGTAGCAACTTGTCTTTGTGGCCAAGCAAGAAAGATAGGGACTGTGAGATAAGAGACTTGTGGTCTAACTAGCTTGTGCCCTTCAGTGAACCATTTCATCTCCCTGGTCTTAAGATACCCCAACCTTACAGGAAAGGGATTGAACAAAATTATCTCCAAATTCCCTTCTAAACCTAACTAAATTCCATTGCTTCTATGATCTTATATATTAAGGCATGTCTGTTTTAATCCCCCTGATGTAACATTTCCTAGTCTTAGAAATGGCAATCTTCAGTTTTTCTTTGTAAACGCCTTTTTAAGAATAGCCACCATATATCACCTCCTATGCACACATACGAGAAAATCCTTATCGTATAACATATGTATTGGCATATTTATAGTTATACTTATTTTAGACAGAAGTAATTAAGAGATTGAAACTTCTTGCCTTGTTTCTTTCTGTAAATGCAGCTAATAGTCATCATGGATGCATCCATACATTCATGGGGAGGTTTTAGTCATGATGAAATCAGTGAGATTTTTGTGAATGCACCTAAAAGCTTCTTTGGCCAGGTATTTTATAATTATAAGACTGCATCATTAAACAAAATCACATTTTTCCTGTTTCAAACTCAATAAACTCAGTAGGAGATGATATAACATAATTTACATGAAGCCATAAGAATAGAGTTAGTTATTTTCTATTTTTGTGAACTATGTCAGATCAGATTTTACACCTAAGGAATGACACACAGTCCTGGAAACACTCTAAAATAACAGGGTAATTAGTGTCTGGTGGGGGACTGTACTTCTAAAGGAATCAGCCTACTGTGTAGCAGATATTCAACACATCACGGGAGAGACTTCATTCTTGGAGACTCTTGCTCTTGGGCCAGCCCTCCTGCAACAAATTGCATTATAACAAGGATCAGGCAGCAATCACTCTTACTTCCTCTTCCCTTTAGCTGGGATCTGAAGAATGGATGTTTATAATGGGCTATTAGTGATGTTAGGAGACTGGGACTTAAGTCCATGTCCCACGAGCTCTCTCTCTCCTGGTCTTCTCAAAGTACATAATCTCATTTCCTTTCTGACTCAAAAGTGGAGACTATACATCAACGCCCTAGATATCAAACATCAAACCCTTAACGTTCTTCTGTCTTTCCTTCTTTTCTTTCACTTAACTCTGAGAAAGATGTTTCTTTTCTCTCTGAGGCTAATCTCTCTGTGGTTGCATTTAATCTTATTGTTAAACACTCTTCTCAAACTTTGCCCCCTCCTTTACTTAAATCTTTAACCCTTTCTCTCTGTTGAGTTTCTTTCATTCAGTTTGCTCTGCAAACACCAGGTTTCTCCCAGTTTTGCTTTCCTCTACTTCCCACCACCCATTGCTCCACACTCCCCAATGACATGGTTCGAATCAACTCTGTTACCTAAAACAGCTCTGTCAAAAATTAACAAAACCATCACTGGTTCTCAATATATGCTTTTGACTTCTTTGAATGATTTAAGAGTAATGACTGACCCTGACTTCAGGATTTTCAAGACCTGGCACCATTTTTTCATTGTTCTTGTTCCGTCTTTTTGTTATTTTATCATTGACTTCTCTTTTGCCTCTTATTGTGAACTATCAAAATTCCTCAAGGATTGACCAGCTCATTGAGTTTAATAGCTCTAAATATCTGAAATATCAAATGATTGAGTTTCACAGAAACACTTCCAATTGCTTACTGGGCATTTGTATTTGTATTCCCTGCCAGCTTCTTCTGACATGACCCCTATTTCATATCATCTATTTTTACCAAAACTGGGCCCTCATTTTCCAGGTGCTAATAAAACTCTCATCATCACAATCTATAGGTATAAACTTAGAAGTATCTTTGACTCCACATCTCTTTTGTCCCTGGGATCTATTATGTTGCCTTATTTCACTCTCTCTCAATCATATTCCTGTCCAAGCCACTTCTACCACTGAAATTAATATCCTTGCTATCTGTCACTTCCTGGCCAATTTTCTATCTCAATTTTTCTCTTTCTCATTGATGCCATCTTATTCTGTCTACAGAAAATATCAGACTATATCATATTACACACACACACACACACACACACACATACACAGACACAACAACAATAACAACGTTTTCACAATCCCTATAAAATTAACTTTTGCTTCTCTGTTCTCTGTCTGGGATCTAATATCTTCTACTTATTTCTCTAAATATATCCAAGTTATTTCAGTCCTCCAGTATGGGATATACAGTTGATCCTTGAACAACATGGGTTTGAAATGCACAGGTCCAAATGTATGCATATTTTTTTTAAAAGTTACCCTGTGTGAGCCTGCCTCTCCCTCTTCCCCTTCCATCTCCTCCAACTCTTCTGCCTCAGCCATCCCTGAAACAGCAAGATCAACCCCTCTTCTTCCTCCTCCTTTTCAATTTGAAGGCTAGGATAAACATCTTTGTAATGGCTAACTTCCACTTAATAATATACTTCTCTTCCTTATCATTTTCTTAATAACATTTTATTTTCTCTAGCTTACTTTACACATTATGTAAAGTAATTTTATACACACACATATAATATGCAAAATATGTGCTAATCAACTGTGTATGTTGTCAGTAAGGCTTTTGGTCCAGAGTAGACTATTAGTAGTTAAGTTTTGGGGGAGTCAAAAGTTATATATGAGTTTTCAATTGCATGAGAGGAGTCAGTGCTCCTAATCCCTACTTGTTCAAGGGTCAACTATACTTATACTACAAAAATTATGGGTTGTATCTGTGAAATTCATATTTAAACTGGACAACCT